TCACGGCTCAAAAATCGCTCAGTTTCATCTTCTTGTGCTGTCACTTGTCCTAATTTGCCTCTTCTCACCGTTGTGAGCTGATGCAGTTTGAACTCCAGACCTTTGTCTGTCATCGCCCTCTGGCTGTCATCACGCATAACTACACCCACACTGTCATTAATGTCGTCCGCCATTGTAATTATATAACACCGCTAAGCCGTAATGATTTTCTTCGGCACAGCTGTCGGGTGGTGTACTGCACAAACTCCTTTATGCTACTTCCACAGGTAAGATGCATCTGACAAACACTTTTTACTTAGCTGTTCGCCTTGTTGTTGTGTGTAGGCGTCCTTATGCCGACGATCCGGTGACTTTTCTATGTCTCAGTCGGTGGCTCCACCGCGGAAAACATTCCGTATTCCGTTACTAAATAGTTTTTTGACTTTTATGTAGTGGCGAATTTCTGTCCCAAGCTTCAAAAAAATAATTCTTCCACTTCTTAATGTGAGCTGTTCAGATTTATTTCTGACTCGTACATACAAACAAAAGATGTCACGGTCAAAAAACGATTTGCTGCTACAGCGCACATTTCCATTGCCGTCCTGGCTCACACTAACCTGCTACCACACATGCACTGTAATGTTTTCTTACCCGACACAAATTAAATGCGCAGCATTTATTCTCTAACACCATATTATACAAAATTAAACATGTAACATAATAACTGAAACAGTATCAAACATATTTCTCTATAGATTGGCTCTAACAATAAGTATTGCACTTTTTTTGTCAGATATGTTTTTGGTAGAAGGAGCGTTGTTAGCTGGTGTTCAACAGCCTTTTATGACTTTTTCATTTGTATTTTTGATTAAACTAAAACATGCATCCCAGAAGACAGGAGTGTCTGTAACAGGCACAAGAGGTTGGATGTTTTCTGATTTCACCAGAAGCAAAACATGGAGGCTTAATAGCACAGCACATTTTATGCCATATAAGAAAGGAGAGGGAATGAAAAACCAAGACAACAAAGTTGAAAAATGCAGAGTTGAAAATGACAGACACCTTTAATTATTGCCATACTCAGTTGCACCACTGCCAATAGACACCTTGTGAGTAAATGTGACAGGAGCTTTGATAAACCAACATTAATTATCACAGAGAGCAAGTTTGGACTTACCAGGATTTTAGTTAAATTACATCTCATATCTTGCATCATCATCCAGATTCCCATATGCAAAATAATAGAAAAACATCAAAAAAGGGTCAATTTTCAACACAAATTCACAGTTTCCATGATGTATATACTTGATAACAAAGTTAGTATAAAAACAATAACATCATGATGCTCATACTGTTAATATCACTGTTTCAGTTTGTAGCTGCAGTCCTCTCTTGACTTTGTGACTTGAGAGATTGATGGCACTGTTGGCATAACCTTCACAACTCACTGACAGTTTGTCATGATGGTGACATTTAACCCACAGCAGTGAAGATAATGAGCACCTTATCCTTTAAGGGTGATAAACATCAGAACAACAGTATTACATTTTTTCCACATTATAAAATAAATAATAAATCCAAAAGCACAGCACCTAAAGACATCAGTGTTTCAGTCTCACCAGGGAGTCCACATATCAGTCCTGGGAGTGCGAGTCATGCACCAACTGTGTAGAATGCCACAACATACAACTTACATCTCACTGATTGTTAAATTTAGTCTGCCAAATTGTGCATGCACTTTGGTATTTCAGTGGTTAGCCGAAGGTTAAGTAAGGGACGATTCATGTTTCAGACAAATCACCACAAAAAAAAGGTTTAAATACATTTGCCATGTGAAAATGGAAAAAAAGAGGGAAAAAAATAAACATTTGATATTGGAGACAATATGACTATTTTTTTTTTATTTCCCTTCATTGTTCCTTATCTTACACATGTGTTGTTTATTATGATACAGATGTGAAAGTGGTCATGTTGATGAGTAAATGGTGAAGAACTATAGTACATATAAACATTATATAAGACAGACAATAGCTTACATATAAAAAACACCAACATTTACTATAATGTTCATATAAGGTGACAATATTTTCCATCACATTGTCTCACTGTGAGCTGTTGAAATTATCTTTAGGGAACTACTGTGAATTCATATATCCGGGTTTCCAATATAGAGATTTATACTATATTGTTAAAATTTGCTCAAATATTTTCACTTAACCATCCAAATAATTAAATTCAGGTGTTCCAATCATTTCAATAACCACAGGTGTATAAAATCAAGCAGACTGCTTCTACAAACATTTGTGAAAGAATGGGTCGCTCTCAGGAGCGCAGTGAAGTCCAGCATGGTACCGTGATAGGATGTCACCTGTGCAAGTCCAGTCACCTCTAAATACTTCACAGCACACTGCTAGGGGTATTATAACAAAGTGGAAGGGATTGGGAACAACAGCAACTCAACAATGAAGCGGAATGACATAAAAAGTGAAGTGAAAGGATGCTGAGGTGCACAGAGGTCACCAACTTCCTACAGAGTCATTTGCTGCACACCTTCAAACTTCATGTGGGCTTCAGATTAGCTCAAGAACAGTGGCTACAGAGCTCCATGGAATGGGTCTGCATGGCCAAGCAGCTGGATCCAAGCCTTACATCACCAAGTGCAATGCAAAGTGTCAGATGCAGTGGTGTAAGCCACGCCATCACTGGACTCTGCAGTGGAGATGTGTTCTCTGGAGTGACAAATTATGCCTCTCTCTGTCTGGCACTGGGTGAGTCTGGGTTTGGTGGTTGCCAGGAGGACGGGACAAGTGTAAACATTGGTGGAGGGTAGATTGTGGTGTGGGTTGTTCTTCAGGAGATGGGCTCGGTCCCTTAGTTCCAGTGAAAGGAACTTAAATGTGTCAGCATGCAATGACATTTTGGACAACTTCATGCTCCAACTGTTACTTTTTTTTAAGTACTTGGCAAAACCAACATGTACCTAAACTAAAACAGGGTCACAGCAGCTGCTGTGACTCAATCACATCGCAGGAATAAGTGGCTCCCCAACCTTATAAACAGTCAGTGGTGCCAGTCATTATGTAAATGTACTTACAATGGGGTGTGAGGACAGTGTCATGATCATTAATTTATATTAATAAATGCATTTATTAGTTACCATTCACAGAGAACTGGTGCAATCACAGCATTGTAGATAGAATTATTCCTCCTTCCCGGCTCAGAGATGGTCTTTCCCGTTTCACAAAAATGTCCCTTTGATTCTTTGCTCAAACCAGCGTTCCTCCCTGTCCAGGATGTGGACTCCTTATAACTGGAACAGTGGCCACTGGCCTGTAGGTGTAAGCAGACTGAAGTCCTGGCCAGTTTTCGGTTTGATTTTTCCAATGTATCAATCACAGCAATTGACCTAGCTCTTAGGAGTGCACACTATATTATGCCGGTGACACCTGATCCTTGGGGTGCACCAATTCTTGACATAGAGTGTTTTGGGGTGTGAAAGCCACAGCGTCACAGTGTTTAGAGAAAATGCATCTCAGCTGTTGTGATACTCCTGACACATAAGGGATCACACTAAAGTTTTCTGCTTAGGCAGCAGTTGTCCTTCTTCTCTCCAGGATCGGCTGGAGTTTTCTTCAGGCGCCTTAAAAATGTCCTGCTGGGATAACCACATTTACTCAGGGCCTTCTTGATGTGATGTTCTTCTACCTCCCTGGCCGCTGTGTCAGTGGGGATGGTGTTTGCTCTGTGTTGTAAACAGTGATGCCGGTAACGCGTTGCTTAGTAACGCGTTACTCCGAATATGACCACTTTTTCAGTAACGACTAATCTAACGCGTTACTATTTCCATAACAGTAGTCAGATTAAAGTTACTTGTCCAAACCACTGTGCGTTACTATTTTTTTAAGCAAAAAGATTTGGTTTCTTCTTTTCGTCTCAGCGGATGACAAACGCATACGTGTCGTGAAACGTCACATAAGCGACAGGTCACGTTTCCCGCTCACAAGCAGCCAGTGACGTAAAAAAGTGTAAACAACAATGGAGGGAGAGAGATGTTCGTTCTTTAGCTGGAAATATGGTCACTATTTTGAGTTTCTGTCAACTAAAGATTTAAATATTAAGGTTCGTTGTACACTCTGTGTTGGCGAAAAAGTGTTATCTACCTTCAAAAACACTACGTCAAACTTAAAGAAACATTTGGAGTCGCAGCACAGCACAGTCAAACTCACAGAGAGAGTCCCACCAAGTGGTCCGAAGCAGAGAGCCGTGACTTCCGCAGAAGGTCCTACACCCCCCAAACAACAAAAGTTGGACTTTGGTGCAAAACCAGTAAGTGATGAAGAATTGAAGAAGTTGGTCGCGCAGTATATTGTAGAAGAAATGCTACCTATAAACACTGTTGACTCGCCCTCGTTTCGTGCCATAATAAAAAAGATCCCTACTTCTGTTAATGCCGAGCTGCCTCACCGAACGACTTTTACTTCTTACTTGGAGAAGGAGTTTACAGAAATGGAGAGAAATTTGAAGGCCACACTGAATGAGATTGACTTTGTTTCAACTACCGCGGATATTTGGACTGCTAACAACAGAAGCTATATGGGAGTAACGCTCCACTGGATCAGTAGAACCACATTAGAGCGTCACAAGGTTGCATTAGCATGTAGGCGAATTCGTGGTAGACACACGTATGATGTCATTGGTACAGAAATCGAAAACATCCACTCCTCTTATGGATTACTCAACAAAGTAGTTGCAACAGTTACTGATAATGGATCCAACTTTGTTAAGGCGTTTCAAGTTTATCATCCTGTCACGGAGTCCGATGATGAGACGGAGGAGGAAGAGTCCAGCCCCAAAGACGATGATGTCACTTTTTCTGATCTGTCAGAAATCCTCTCGGCTGAGAATGAAAGTGATGGTCAGCTGTCTCTTCCCCCGCACCGCAGGTGTGCTTCGCACACCATCAACATAATTTGCACACGTGATGTGGAGAAACATTTAACAACCAATGCAGAGAGCAGGGCTGTGTATAGGAGCAGCACAGCAAAATGCACAGCTCTTTGGACCAAATCGAGTAGATCTACACTTGCATCAGAAACAGTGGAAGAAATCAGCAAAAGAAAGCTCCTAATACCAACATCCACAAGGTGGAATTCCTTTTTTGATGCTGTAAAGAGAATTGCAGAAATCCCCATGGGTGAGCTGAATACTCTGTGCACAAAGCTAGGACTGAAGTGCTTCAAAGATCAAGAATACCAGTTCCTGCATGAGTACTGCATGGCCATGAAACCTCTGACTGCAGCACTGGACATTTTACAAGGCGACTGTCCATATGGAACTTTACTACCAACACTTGAAGTTCTGATGCAGAAGACCCAGGCTGT